GGAGCTGAAAGTTCGAGTTGCCAAACATCAGCCACCAAACCCTAATGACTTGGAGAGGATCTGCCAAGAGGGGTGGGCCAAAATCCCTCCTGAGATGTGTGCAAACCTGGTGGCCAACTCCAGGAAACGTCTGACCTCTGTGATTGCCAACAAGGGATTTGCCACCAAGTACTAAGTCATGTTTGTGAAGGGGATCAAATCCTTATTTCCCTCAGGAACATGCAGATCAGTCATCATTTGTTAGACATGCATTTCTGCTGAATTTGTTGTTGCTATTCTGTCTCTCAGTGTTACAATACATTGAACATTCGATTTTTAGAACGATCATTTCTTTGTAAATGGGCAAACATCCAACATCAGCAGGGGAGCAAATACGCATTTCCATCACTGTAAGCTCTTGTCCTGCTCAACTTCCACACCTCTGTGACCAAGCCCCAGTGGGTGGGGTGAAACACGTCAACTGACACAGCCAGAGCAGCGCCAGCCAGCTGAAGCCATATACCTTGATTATACCCATATTGAAGAAAAATATATTTTAAAAATATTCTTCCCAAACATATTGACATATATTTGAAATGCTACAATTTTGGCCGTATTCAATAGATTTCAATAAATAAATATATATACAAACACATACACACACTGCATGTTGAAATGCGTTTTTATTACAAAATATATGAAAAATATTTTTTCAAATATACTGTATGTCTTAAAAAATTAAAATCTACATTTTAGGAAGATGAAGTCCATCATGAATGCTGGCAGCAGCATTCATGATGGACTGGAGGGGGGTAGCCTATGTAATGGCAATCCAATGAGGAGGGAGTTGCAGTAGTTGAGGCGACAGATGACTAGGGCATGGATTAGAAGCTTTGTGATGTCATTGGTTAGAAAGAAGAGATGTTGTGGAGATTGAGGTGGCAAACTTTAAAAAGTGATTGGATGAGGAGTCAAAAGGAAAGTTCAGAGTGCAGGATTACCCCTAACAACCTGGCATATGCGGATGGGTTGATGGTTGTGCCATTGATCTTGACAGAGAAGTCAGGGGAAGGGTCACGTGGGGGAGGAAATATTATGAGCTCGGTTTTGGGAAGATTGACTTTGAGGAAGTGGTGTGCCATCCAGGCCGAGATGTCTGTTAGTAAATCGGTGATATGTGAGGAGACTGATGTGAGCTGAGGGGTAGAGAGATAGATTTGGGTGTCATCAGCATAGAAATGGTATTGGAAAGCCATGGACGGCTATCAGCTGACCAAAGGAGGAGGTGTAGATCGAGAATAGAAGAGGTCGAAGGACAGAACCTTGGGTGAACCAGACGGAGAAAGGAATAGTAGAGGAGGATGTAGAATTGTAAGTGACATTGAAGGAGCGGTGGGATAGATAAGATGAGACCAATGAAGAACACAGTCATGGAGTCCAAATGAAAGAGTTTTTTGAGGAGGGGGTGATCAACCATGTCAAAGGCAGTCCAAAGTGAGGAGAAGGTTTTAGCTGTTTTAGGAGGAAGTTTTTAAGTGAGAACTAGTGGTGGGATAGGTAGGATGAGCACCAATCAAGGCACAGCATGGAGATCAAAGGAGTCCCTTTTGAGGGAGGAGGGGGTGGCCAACCATATCCAAGGCAGCAGAAAGGTCCCGAAGTAGGAGGAGAAGGTTTTAGCTGTTAGTAAATCGTTTGTGAGTTTTAGGAGAACAGTTTCTGTGGAGTGTTGAGGGCAAAATCCAGACTGAAAGGGTCAAGAAGGCTGTTCTCCGTAAGATGGTCACTCAGTTGGTTGTACACCGGGTGTTCAAGGAGTTTGAAGGAAAAGGGGAGCAAGGAGATATTGCGTAGGTTGTTAAGATTGGTGTCAAAACTGGTGGCCCTCCAGCTGTTGCCAAACTACAAGTCCCATGAGGCATTGCAAGATTGACAGTTACAAGCATGATTCCCAAAGGTAGAGGCATGATGGGACTTGAAGTTTTCGCAACAGCTGGAGGGTCGCCAGTTTGACACCCCTGTTTTAGAGCATTGGAGAAGATGCCAGAAGGGAGGAAGAGATCGACGATGTGAGTTAGAGAATGTAGGATAGAGCCAGAGGGTGACCACAGTAATTGAGAGGGTCCAGGTGGTTAGGTGGGTGTTAGAAAAGAGTTTAGCAACCTCATCTATAGTGGTGGGGTTGAGTAAGAGAAGTTTTGAGTTCACCTGAGGACATGGAGTGTAGGGTGAGGGAGATAGCTGTAGAGTGGAGACTTCATAAAGAATTATATCAATATTATTTTTGAAGTGATTGGCGATCTCCTGGGCAGTGAGTTGGTGGGTGGAGGCGGTGGAGGACTAAGTAGAGCGTTGAAGGTAGAGAAGAGTTGACTGGGACGGGATGAAAAGGTGTTAATGAGAGAGATGAAATAGGCCGGCTTGACTGTGTGAAGGCAAGAATTGTATTTGAACCAGGTTGTCTTGTTTATAAAGGGAAGGGCACAGACCGTCACTGATTAATACTAGAAGTTGCTTGGGAGGGTATTACGAGGATTGCAAAGCAACCTGGGAAAGCTTTTATCAAAAAAGTTCATTTCTAGCAATTTACCTTAAACATTTCTACATGGAAAATTGGAGCATTTAACAAGATCAATTTAACCAAAATCCCTCCACTTATCTAGTCCACTCATCTATTTCTGTTCCCCTTGGTGGGAGTGGAGGTGACCCCTCTATGAGGACATACAGTCCATGTACAGCACAAGGCTGTGGTCACACTACCAGACAGTTCTCGGTGCTGCAGTTCCTCTGAGCTCCACAAGGTGGGATCTCACTTCTACCCAGACAGGAAGTCTCTATGGAAGACAGGAAGTGATGTCAAGTATAAATAGGAAGTTCCAAGTCGTGAGGAAGTACATGCGAGACGTTGCTGGAAGTGGCAGTGGAGGAGGTAATAAGATCTTATTTTATATTTACAGGAAACGCCAAATAATTCTTACTTCAGTTTGTCAAAATGATCTCTCTATAAGAAAGCCGGAATAGATCTCATGACCAATGAGGATGGAGGAGGACCGGAGTCACATGACTGAGAGGATACTAAACCTCACCCTGGAGATCATCTACTTGCTGACCGGAGAGGTGAGGAGGATTCTGGGAGGTCACATGACATCACTCTCTATTAATAAAACACAGACCTGACCGGAGAGGTGAGGAGGATTCTGGGAGGTCACATGACATCACTCTCATCTCTATTAATAAAACACAGACCTGACCGGAGAGGTGAGGAGGATTCTGGGAGGTCACATGACATCACACAGACCTGACCTGAGAGGTGAGGTGGATTCTGGGAGGTCACATGACATCATACAGAGCTGATCGGAGAGGTGAGGAGGATTCTGGGAGGTCACATGACATCACTCTCATCTCTATTAATAAAACACAGACCTGACCGGAGAGGTGAGGAGGATTCTGGGAGGTCACATGACATCACTCTCATCTCTATTAATAAAACACAGACCTGACCGGAGAGGTGAGGAGGATTCTGGGAGGTCACATGACATCACTCTCATCTCTATTAATAAAACACAGACCTGACCGGAGAGGTGAGGAGGATTCTGGGAGTCTAACATAATATTCCTATTGGTTCCCCAATACAGAGATTTCCTCTTCTGAAGTCAGGTGATCATATGACCATCACAGTGCCTCCATGTGACTCCCTAAACCCTGAGAGACACAACATGCAGAAGATTCTAGAAGTCACCAAGAAGATGATGGAGCTGCTGACAGGAGAGGTGAGCGGTGCCGGGAATTCTGGGACATTCTCCAGTAACAGACAAGGGATGTGTCTGGATGGTGACTGTATCATTGTGTGTGTCAGGTTCCCATAAGGTGTCAGGGTGTCACTGTCTATTTCTCCATGGAGGAGTGGGAGTATTTAGAAGGACACAAGGGACCTCTACAAGGACGTCATGATGGACAATCAGCCGCCCCTCACATCACCAGGTAAGAGGAGACTTTATTGGAAAGGAGAGAGCAGTACGGAGGCTCCACCTAGATCCCTCATCATCTGATAAACACATAGAAACAATGGATTCAGTCAGTATGTGTGTTTCCTACAGATGGATCCAGTCATTGGAACCCTCCAGGGAGATGTCCTCGTCCTCTGTATTCCCGGGATTCCACACAGGAAGGTCACACCATCCCTCACCATCATCAGGTAGATGGATCCAGTCATGGGAACCCACCAGAGAGATGTCCCTGTCCTCTGTATTCCCAGTATTCCACGCAGAAAGGTCACATCAACCCTCACAGTTACAAGGTTGGTGGGGTGGAGCATCTAGAACATGGACTCATAGAGATGATGTGTGTATTTTTATGTGAGCTTTTTACAGATAGTTTCTCTCCTTCTCTTGGTTTAGGGTGAAGATCTGACAAATATAAAAGTTGAGGTGAAATCAGAAGAAGAGGCGTATGTGAGGGAAGATCATCAGTCTATGGAGGAGGATGGAATAACGGGGACATTTATAGAGGAGGACACTCCTACAGAGATCAGCACAGGTGGGACATCAACACTAAATCCATTCCTCCACCCATACTGCTCACTGATTGGTCCAGATGATAAAGTTCTCATTGGATCTCTCTGTCCGACAAAATCCTGGAGCTCAAGAGGAACCATTCAACTTGTAAGCTCCTCAGAGACCATGCTGCCTGATGTGGGCGGAGTCCTGGTTTGGGGGAACCAATCAGCTCCTGTCTAGTAATCCTCTTTGTCTTTGTATTTTAGTCCATGGCCGGGAGATGAGGAAAACCTCTGAGGATTGTCTCACTTTGTCTCCAGACTGGAAAGTAGAAGATGAGGACATCACACAGTATAGTCCAGGAGAAAACCCGGCTCCCTCCAATGTCCATCCGGCACCACCCAGTGTAGATGGACCATCGGATTCCTTGTATCCTGAGGACCCTCAGACTGTGCGGGACCGGGCCGGCCTTCCAACACGGAAGAGCTTCTCCTGTACTGAGTGCGGGAAGTGTTTTCGTTTCAAATCGGGTCTTAATGAGCACAAAAGATCTCACACGGGGGAGAAGCCACATTCCTGCCCTGAGTGCGGGAAATGTTTTTCAAAAAAGTCCTATCTTTCTATACATCAGAGATCTCACACAGGGGAGAAGCCGTTTTCCTGTCCGGAGTGCGGGAAGTGTTTTTCCTTTAAGTGCAATATTTACAAACATCAGAGATTGCACACAGGTGAGAAGCCATTTTCCTGTCCTGAATGCGGGAAATGTTTTATACAGAAATCAGAACTTGTCACGCATCAGAGGTTTCACACGGGGGAGAAGCCGTATTCCTGCCCTGAGTGCGGGAAAAGTTTTTCAGACAAGTCCAATCTCAACAGACACCAAAGATCTCATATGGGGGAGAAGCTGCACTTTTGTCCTGAGTGCGGAAAATATTTTTCAGAGAAGTCTAGTCTTTACAGACATCAGAGATTGCACGCGGGGCAGAAGCCTTATTCCTTTTCTAAGTGTGGGAAATGTTTTATAAAAAAATCAGACCTTGTCACACACCAGAGATCCCACAAAGGGGAAAAGCCGTATTCCTGTCCTGAGTGCGGGAAATGTTTTTCACAGAAGTCCCATCTTTACAGACATCAGCAATCTCACACGGGGGAGAAGCCTCTTTCCTGTCCCGAGTGAGGGAAATGTTCCTCACTGAAGTCCTGTCTTCCTGGGGTCCCACACAACCCTGGAGGTGTATTCATGTGGGAAATGTCTTGTGGATGAATGTTGGTGGACATCCCAGCTCTCATGTGGGGAAGAAGCACCCCCTGATATACACCTCAGATATACTCCATGGCTGATCTTCATCATGAAAGAAACAGTTCATAAGGAGATCAGAGGTCACCAAAGACGTGGATGAAGTGTGGGACTAGGTTGGTCATTGATAGCAGGAGAAAAATAAAAATGGCGTCCTCACCTGTCATTGGCTGAGTACATTTTGTGGTGGGAGATTTCACAAACGCTTCGGCTACATAAACACAGCGATTTGAATTGTAGCGGCAGTTCCTGATGCGGCTCTCAGAGGTTAGGTGCAGCCTCCGGCCTCGTTCTCTCTCTCTGGTTCCTCTTCTCTGAACCTCTTCTATAGGATGGAGAACATTTCTATTGTATTTGCTAAAAAGCTGAAGGAAAGTTCCATGATGTACAGTAGATGAGGGTCATATATAGTATGAGCGGGATCACCCTTCACTCCGTAACCAAGACCTAGCCTGGCAATGCCCAGAATGACACCGATCAGTCTCTGACCAATCTCACGGTTTGGATAGACGTTCTCCTTCTGGTTATTTCCAGGTGAATGTGAATTGGAGTTCTAATGCTGTACAGTATTGGTCTCCAAACTGTGGCCCTTAGTTTGCTTTTATCTGGCCCTTGGGACAATATTTTATCCACTGACATCAAAAATGGGGCATAATTCCCCCCCATTGACATTAACAAATGGGCATAGTTGCCTCCCAATGACATTGATGGGGGACAATTCCTTCCATTGACATTGATGGGGGACAATTCCTTCCAATGACTTTGGTTGGGGGACAATTCCTTCCATTGACATTGATGGGGGACAGTTCCTTCCAATGACATTGGGGGACAATTCCTTCCAATGACATTGGTTGGGGGACAATTCCGTCCAATGACATTGGTTGGGGGACAATTCCTTCCATTGACATTGATGGGGGACAATTCCTTCCAATGACATTGGTTGGGGGACAATTCCTTCCACTGACATTGATGGGGGACAATTTCTTCCAATGACATTGGTTGGGGGACAATTCCTTCCACTGACATTGATGGGGGACAATTCCTTCCAATGACATTGGTTGGGGGACAATTCTTTCCAATGATATTGATGGGGGGACAATTCCTTCCAATGACATTGATGGGGGACAATTCCTTCCATTGACAGCAAAGATAGGGCATTGTTTGCTCTCACTGATGATGGCACATTTTCTATTCCCACTGGCCACAGTCTGGCCCTCCTAAAGTCAAAAGGACCATAAACTGGTCCTTTGTTTAGAAAGTTTGGAGACCCCTGCTGTACAGGTTCTTCATGTTCCCCAATACCAGCTCATACATTGGACTTGTTTCCAACCAAAAATGAATGAATTTGGCAAGCTACCCTGCCTATATTTAGGGCATGCAGCCTGGTCTGGTTCAGGAAGTGGGGGTTGCATGGTGTTTCCTCATCCCTTTGGTCACATTCACCTGTTAGCTGGGAATACTCGGCTGGAAACTGAACAGAACGGACGGGGATGTATTGCTGGTTGTCAGGATGACTGCAACCGCTGACTCTCTACTGGGGGTGAGCCGGACTGCCCTGGGCTCGGATAGAGCAGGGTTCGGTGAACTTCTAAGTGGTTCAGATGCTGAACCTGGACCCCTCGGTGAAGTCAATGGGAAGTGAAGCAAAAAATGCCCGTTTCCTGGGCTAAGATGAGGTGGTCCTCTAAACCAGGGGTCTCCAAACTTTCTAAAGAAAGGGCCAGCTTACTGTTCTTTAGACTTTAGGGGGGGGCTGGAATGTGGCTGTTTGGAGTAGAAAAGGTCCTGACGTCAATGGGAATAGACAACTCCCCATCATTGGTGTCAATGTGCCCCATTGTTGGTGTCATTGAGAGCAATTGTGCCCCATTGTTGGGTGTCATTGGGAGGAATAGTCCCCATCGTTGGGTGTCAATGGAAGGAATTGTGCCCCATCGTTGGGTATCACTAGAAGCAATTGTGCCCCATTGTTGGGTGTCATTGGGAGGGATAGGCCCCATTGTTGAGTGTCATTGGGAGGAGTTGCGCCCCATCATTGGTGTCATTGGGCCCCATTGTTGGCGTCATTGGGAAGAATTGTGCCCCATCGTTGGGTGTCATTGGGAACAATAGTCCCCATCGTTGGGTGTCATTGGGAGGAATTGTGCCCCATCATTGGGTGTCATTGGGAGGATTAGTGCCCATCATTGGGAGGAATTGTGCCAGATCTTTGGGCATCATTGAGAAGAATTGTGCCCCATCTTTGGGTGTCATTGGGAGGAATAGTCCTCATCGTTGGGTGTCATTGGGAAGAATTGTGCCCCATCGTTGTGATCCCAGTGATACCAATGATGGGGCACTACTCCTCCCACTGACACCAATGATGGGGCACAATTCCTCCCAGTGATGGGACACTATTCCTCCCACTGACACCAATGATGGGGCACTACTCCTCCCACTCACACCAATGATGGGACACTATTCCTCCCAATGATACCAATGATGGGGCACTACTCCTCCCACTGACACCAATGATGGGGCACTACTCCTCCCAGTGATACTGATGGAACACTGTTTCTTACACTGATACAAGGGGTCACTATTCCTCCCATTAAAACCAAGGCTGGGGCATTGTTTACATCTGCTGACACCGGGGCATTTTCTACCCCCACTGGCCATATTCTGGCCCCCCCTAAAGCCTAAAGGACATTAAACTGTCCCTTTGTTTAAAAAATTTGGAGATCCCTGCTCTAAACAAGCAGCACTGACAATAAACAGACAAGACAATGACCATCCTGACCATACATGGCCTACAGAGGGTGATGATTACACTACACAGGCAGCCAATGGGCAATCATTGCACTATGCAGCCAACACAATGATGGAGTGACTGGGTCAGGAGTATGGAGCATAGAGCCCCTTACATTGCTGGTCAGGAGGAAGAAAACATCCCCCAGCCTGCCATGAAGAATATGTTCCATCATTGGTGTCAGAGGGAGGAAATACTGAAGGAAGTAGAGGAGCGGAGGGGTAAATGGTGCTTAAAAGCTTTAAGGCCCTTAATGGAGTACTCGGGCTTAGGCCCCTAAGTTCTAGGGGATTCTGAGGGAAGGGGTCTCTTGGTCTGTGATGGTCCTCCCTCCCTATCTGCACTTCCTTAGACTTTAACCTCACCGTATCACTGCCCAAGTGATATGTTCTAGGATATCAGGTGGAATGAAGAAGGTAAGTCCTTAACCCCCGTCCATAGAGGTGGAATCTTCGTGCAGCAAACCAGTTCAATAACAAAACAAAGCCAACAGAGAATCTGGAAAGCCAATACAAGGAGGTGGTCCTCTGAACCAGGGGTCTCCAAACTTTCTAAAGAAAGGGCCAGCTTACTGTTCTTCAGACTTTAGAGGGTGGGAGGCTGGAATGTGGCTGTTGGGAGCAGAAAAGGGCCCATGGGAATAGACAACGTCCCATCATTGGTGTAAATGGGCCCCATTGTTGGCATCATTGAGAGCAATTGTGCCTGTGACGGAAGCGTAGGCAGGACAGAACGGACAAGGAAGATAGTAAACACAAAACTTTATTGAACTATGAAAGGCATTCAATCAGGACAGTTCATGGCACTCCGCAACATACAGCTTGTAGGGACACGGTAAGCAGGCTCACGGGGGACTCAGCGGGACTTTGGCTGGTGGTCTGACTTCAGCACAGCTCCCACACAGCTCTCTAGGGACAACATCAGGCTCACGGGGACTCAGCAGGACCTTGGCTATTGATCCAGCCTCAGCACAGCTCCCACACAGCTCTCTAGGGACAACATCAGGCTCACGGGGACTCAGCAGGACCTTGGCTATTGGTCCGGCCTCAGCACAGCTCCCACACAGCTTTCTAGGGACAACATCGGGCTCACGTGGACTCAGCGGGACCTTGGCTATGGGGTCCGGCCTCAGCACAGCTCCCGCACAGCTTTCTAGGGACAACATAAGACTCACGGGGCTCAACGGGACCTTGGCTATGGGGTCCGGCTTCAGCACAGCTCCCGCACAGCTTTCTAGGGACAACATCAGGCTCACGGGGACTCAGAGGGACTTTGGCTATGGGGTCTGCCCTCAGCTCAGCTCCCACACAGCTTTCTAGGGACAACATCAGGCTCACGGGGACTCAGAGGGACCTTGGCTATGGGGTCTGATTCGGGTAGCGATGGCTTAAGTTCTCAGGGGGGACAGTCCAGGTAGCTATACACCGGGCACGCCGTGGGGTAGTTCAAACAAGGGTAGTCTGAGCACACAATCGGGGCAGTTCATGGCTTCTAGGGACACTCACGATAGGCAGCTTGCAGACACTCAGCAGCAGGCGGCTTGTAGGGACACTCAGCAACGGACAGGGACCCTCACAGCAGTCAGCTTTCCAGGGACAGCAGCGATCAGCAGACAGGGGCCCTCACAGTGGCCAGCTTTCCAGAGACAACAGCGATCAGCAGGCAGGGGCCCTCACAGCGGCCAGCTTTCCAGAGACAGCAGCAATCAGCAGGCAGGGGCAGCAGGTACTCCCAACCCTGGAGTATTAGCAGAGGGGCAGCGCGTACTCCCAACCCTGGGGGTAGTTAGCAGAGGGGCAGCGGGTACTCCCAACCCTGGAGTATTAGCAGAGGGGCAGCGGGTACTCCCGGGTAGTTAGCAGAGGGGCGGCGGGTACTCCCAACCCTGGGGGTAGTTAGCAGAGGGGCAGCGGGTACTCCCAACCCTGTGGGTATTTAGCAGGGTGGCAGTGGGTAATAGTCCTGACCTTTGGGGGGGTTGGTCTCCTGCAGAGTGCCCAGCGGTTACATCGGTGGAGGTCCGGTCCCCACCCGGACCTCCCACGACAGCAGTGGCGGCAGGCAGAGAGAGAGCGGTTGGGGTCCCACGCCGGCCTTTTAAAGCCGCCAGTACGCTTCTGGGTTGCCCTGGCAATGGCTGGCTCAGCGCTGCGTTTGCAGGGGCAACGAGGCACTATTACCCCCCTTTACTCAGGCCGCGCGCTCGTGAGCGCGGCCTTTGTCACTGGCGAGCGCAGAGTGCGGGAAGGCGCGCTGCATCTGCCGGGGGCGTGCGGAGACCTCATGGTGGCCCCCCGCCGGGGTCTCCTGGTAGGGGGGGTCACAGCTCCTCCAACTAGATTGCTGGGGGCTGTGATCCTCGCCACAGGGGTCCCCTCCCCCCATCCTGCACAGCCTGTTTCAAAGGCTGTGTGCAGGATGAGAAGATGTGGCGAGGGAGGGGGGAGCGTGCAGGGACAGCGGGCACACCGTGACAGTGCCCCATTGTTGGGTGTGATTGGGAGGAATAGTCCCCATCGTTGGGTGTCATTGGAAGGAATTGTGCCCCATCATTGGTGTCATTGGGACCCATTGTTGGCGTCATTGGGAAGAATTGTGCCCCATCATTGGGTGTCATTGGGAAGAATAGTCCCCATCGTTGGGTGTCATTGGGAGGAATTGTGCCCCATTATTGGGTGTCATTGGGAGGAATTGTGCCAGATCTTTGGGCGTCATTGAGAGGAATAGTCCTCATCGTTGGGTGTCATTGGGAAGAATTGTGCCCCATCATTAGGTGTCATTGGGAGGGGTAGTCCCCATTGTTGGGTGTCCTCGGGAGGGAGGAGGGGAATCTTCTGGAGGGGTTAAACAGTACAACCACAATGCAGAAGCACCGAGGATACCCGGAACAAGTCATGTGACTAATGATCAGCCCCTGATATGTACAAACTGTCCGTACATTTATTGATGGTTGGCAACCCCAGTCCAGACTATGGGGTGGATTTACTAAAGGCAAACAGACGGTGCACTTTGTAAAGTGCAGTTGCTCCAGAGCATCCTCCAATCCTGTGCAAGCAAATATGCTGGGTTTTTTTTTCCTCCTTGCATCCAATCGGGTGTTCTTTACAAAGTGTAAATTCACCTCTTACTAAACTCGGGAGCAACTGCACTTTGCAAAGTGCACCATCTGTTTGCCTTTAGTAAATCAACCCCTATGTGTGTTCCCATGGGGTCAGTAGTTCTTAAATGATCGGCAAACCTATTATTACCGCCCCCCCCTCATATCCACATCCTGTTATTGTGTAACCAGTCAGTAGTCTTGAGAGCCCTGTGCGCCCTTTACCTCCAATTACAGAGAAACAGATATACCCATACACACCCAGCACAGGGCCGGGGCCACACTACCAGACGGTTCTTGGGGCTGCAGTTCCTCTGAGCTCTACAAGGTGGTGATCTCACTTCTACCCAGACAGGAAGTCTCTATGGAAGGCAGGAAGTGATGTCAGCTAGAGCCAAGAAATTTCATACTATAGGACCTAGAGAGGAGTCACTGCTGGAAGTGGCAGCGGAGGAGGTAATAAAATCTGATTTTCTATTTACAGGAAATTCCAAATAATTCTTACTTCAGTTTGTCAAAATTATCTATATAAGAAAGCCGGAATAGATAAAATGAACGACACGAATGAGGATGGAGGAGGACCGGAGTCACATGACTGAGAGGATACTAAACCTCACCCTGGAGATCATCTACCTGCTGACCGGAGAGGTGAGGAGGATGCTGGGAGGTCACATGACATCACTCTCATCTCTATTAATAAAACACAGACCTAACCAGAGAAGTGAGGAGGATTCTGGGAGGTCACATGACATCACTCTTATCTCTATTAATAAAACAGACCTGACCGGAGAGGTGAGGAGGATTCTGGGAGGTCACATGACATCACACATACCTGACCGGAGAGGTGAGGAGGATTCTGGGAGGTCACATGACATCACACAGACCTGACCAGAGAGGTGAGGAGGATTCTGGGAGGTCACATGACATCACTCTCATCTCTATTAATAAAACACAGACCTGACCGGAGAGGTGAGGAGAATTCTGGGAGTCTAACATGATGTTCCTATTGGTTCCTCAATACAGAGATTTCCTCTTCTGAAGTCAGGTGATCGTATGACCATCACAGTGCCTCCATGTGACTCCCTAAACCCTGAGAGACACAACATGCAGAAGATTCTAGAAGTCACCAAGAAGATGAAGAGCTGCTGACAGGAGAGGTGAGCGGTGCCAGGAATTCTGGGACATTCTCCAGTAATAGACAAGGGATGTGTCTGGATGGTGACTGTATCATTGTGTGTGTCAGGTTCCTATAAGGTGTCAGGGTGTCACTGTCTATTTCTCCATGGAGGAGTGGGAGTATTTAGAAGGACACAAGGACCTCTACAAGGACGTCATGATGGACAATCAGCCGCCCCTCACATCACCGGGTAAGAGGAGACTTTGTTGGAAAGGAGAGAGCAGTACGGAGGCTCCACCTAGATCCCCCATCATCTACAGGATGAGTCCAGTCTTCCTCTTTATTCCCCCCCCCCCCCCCATCCTCACTCTCTGACCTCTGGTGGGGCTCCTGTCTAGTAATCCTCTTTGTCTTTGTATTTTAGTCCATGGCCGGGAGATGAGGAAAACCTCCGAGGATTGTCTCACTTTGTCTCCAGACTGGAAAGTAGAAGATGAGGACATCACACAGCATAGTCCAGGAGAAAACCCGGCTCCCTCCATTGTCCATCCGGCACCACCACCCAGTGTAGATGGACCATCGGATTCCTCGTATCCTGAGGAACCTCAGACTGTGCGGGACCGGGCCGATCTTCCAACAGGGAAGAGCTTCTCCTGTACTGAGTGCGGGAAATGTTTTCATTTTAAATATAATCTTAATGTGCATATAAGATCTCACACGGGGGAGAAACCGTATTCCTGCCCTAAGTGCGGGAAATGTTTTTCAGTAACGTCCCACCTTTACCGACATCAGAAAACTCACACGGCTGGAAAGCTGAATTCCTGTCCTGAGGAACCTCAGACTGTGCGGGACCAGGCTGTCCTTCCAAAAGGGAAGAGGTTCTCCTGTACTGAGTGCGGGAAATGTTTTCATTCTGAATCCAAACTGAATGAACATGAAAGATCCCACACAGATAAGAAGAGGCCACCTTCCTGCCCTGAGTGTGGGAAATGTTTTTCAAAGAAGTCTAATCTTTATGCACACCAGAAATTGCACACGGGGGAAAAGCCATTTTCCTGTCCTGAGTGCGGGAAATGTTTTGTGTACAAATCATATCTTGTCAAACATCAAAGTTCTCAAACGGGGGAGAAGCCGTTTTCCTGCCCTGAGTGCGGGAAATGTTTTTCATCCAAGTCTAATCTTCACACACATCAGAAATTGCACACGGGGGAGAAGCCATTTTCCTGTTCTGAGTGCGGGAAATGTTTCTCATACAAGTCCAATCTTTACAGTCATCAGAGATTGCACACGGGGGAGTTGCTCTATTTTTGTGCTGAGTGTGGGAAATTTTTTTCAGACAAGTCCAATCTTTACCGTCACCAGAGATTGCACACGGAGGAAAAAACATATTCCTGTCCTGAGTGCGGGAAAGGTTTTATAAAAAAATATATGCTTACCAAACATCAAAGATCTCACATGGGGGGGGAAACCATATTCCTGTCCTGAGTGCGGGAAATGTTTTTCAGATCAATCCAGTCTGTGCATACATCAGAGATCGCACACGGGGGAGAAACCATACTCCTGTCCTGAGTGCGGGAAATGTTTTTCAGACCAGTCCAGCCTTTGCATACATCAGAGATCGCACACGGGGGAGAAGCCACTGCCCTGTCCTGAGTGCGGGAAATGTTAGTCAACTCCTTAGCAACAATGAACAAGTCTGTAGACAGAAACAGTCTCTGCTTTTGAAGAGCCCTCCAGCCCTTCCCAGTGTACCTCCTCAGACCCCCAATGAATTCTCCTCCTCTCTCAGCTGCCTGAAGTTTTCCCTGGGCAAGGGGACCCAGAAACTGCCACTTAGTAAAGTGGTCTCAGATGAGAAGCCAGTTGGGTTGGCCACCTGACTGCCCCCTCCCCTTGTCCGGCCTGGGGGGGGGTTGTAGGATTACTCACTCTGTCTCTCCTGTGAGCTTGATGGGTTGGTAGCTTCCTTCAGGCCTTAAGCTGGGCTGGTTCCTTCCCCGCTCCTCAGGCTGTCCTCACTCACAAGACGGTAAGGCAGAGAAATCTTCCTTTCAAGCTCCTGCCTGTAGGTAGGTCCCTCTCCTGGGCACCCTCCACACTCCAGCTCTTCACTCTATCTACATTGGCCAACTCCTCCCAGGCTCTGTGTAATGGAACCGGACCCCGTGTGCACTTGGGTATTTCCGTTATAATACTGCTTCTCTGTCCGAACACAGATGCACGGACACCACTGCTGACCATACAAGACTAGACGGCACCAGACTTGAAGGAAACCAGGAAGAAGACTACTTTATTTGAACACAGATACAAGATATATACATTCAAGGGAACAATTCCCCCTCCCTGCATAATGACACAGGGCAGGGCAATCCCCCCTCCCTGCATAATGACACAGGGCAGGGCAATCTACATTTAGTAACGAGACACACCAGCAGACAGTCCCATCAGGAGGGAGGGCTGCTGGAGACACCCCCCACCAAGCCAATACACATAAACACATACATCCCATAATAGTTTGCTCCCAAGCCAGACACACAATAGAACAATGGGATGCAACCACACAACAAACAATCCACAACCCCCCACCCCAATATTAGGACATATCACCCTGTACCCCTAACAGGCACAGGGGGACTTACACATAAGAGGGATATGGGGAGCTGAGACAGGGGTCTCCCCACCTCTCCAAAGTGAGCTGTGTTCCATGGGCCCCCCACCCAAAGTCACTCCTGTCACATATCTCCCCTTTCGGCAAGAGACTAATGCAGGAGGAGACCCCAGACGGGTGGACTCTGAAGTTAGTCTGTTCTTCCAGTCCCCCAATGCCAGCACCCACACAGTACCCCAAACAAATGGTCCCACACAAAGCATTACTCACCCAGCCAACCTCTGCCTCTCTCGTAGAACATACCCGCCACTAGGGAGAAGTACGTACTGGTCCTTCTCCCTGAAATCCTCTCAGCCCCTGGAGAGAAGACAGGGTGGCTGAGCCGACTCCATCATGCTGTGGGGTATCTGGGCAGACTGCCCAGCATCCCTGGGGTATCCAGGTGGTGACTGTAGTCTCATCCACTTTGACTTGATGGACATCCCTCAGTGTTCGCAAAGTAAGGCTGACATCCTCTTGTCCCAATGCCAGACCCTTTTCTGGGGTTGTGTCAGTGGAGACCGAAGTCCCATCCACGGACATCAGCTCAAGCTGCCGTTGTGAGGTGCCGATTGCATCCTCTTCCTGTAGCTCCTGCGGTGCTGATTGTTGTGGGCAGAGGTAAACAACACCATGCCCTGATGCCATCTCTTCTGCTGGAGGCGTCCCGGCTGGTTCCTCCTCAGCAGAAAGGTCAATCAAATCCCCAGTCTCTGGAACTGGTGTCTGGGGGTAGGGGTTCACCATCTCCTGTCCGTGGAACGCAGAAGATGTTACCAGTGCTGTGCAGAGTTCAGTAAAGTTTGGCCCTGTTGTCAGATCTGCTGGAGGCACACCGGCTGGTTCCTCCTCAGCAGAAAAGCCCAGTCTCTGGAACTGATGTCTGGGGATAGGGGTTCACCATCTCCTGTCCGTGGAACCCAGAAGATGTTACCAGTGCTGGGCAGAGTTCAGTAATGTTTGGCCCTGTTGCCAGATCTTCTGCTGGAGGCACACCGGATGGTTCCTCCTCAGCAGAAAAGTCAATCAAATCCCCAGTCTCTGGAACTGGTGTCTGGGGATAGGAGTTCACCATCTCCTGTCCATGGAACCCAGAAGATGTTACCAGTGCTGGGAAGAGGCTAGCAGAGCTCTGCCCTTTTGTCAGCACTTCAGGTTTGGGGACGGCAATCTCTGGAATTTCCACTGCCGATTCTTGGGCATGCTGCCGAACATGTTTTAGTAGTTGCCTGTATGCCCTTTCCAGATCCTGTTCTTTCATCAGCAGGTATTCCAGATCTGGTTGAAGCTCTGAGACCCATGTGAGACTGAACATAGCCTCTCTGTCTTCTCACAGGTCCTCAAGAGTAGGTTCTCCTTCATCACCAAACACAAAATGATCTGTAAGGCTCTCCTACAGCAATCCAGGACCACCAAAGTCATTTCCTTCAGGAGAGCATCCTGTTGTCACCCCGAAATATTCCTGCTCTGCGTACCATTGCAGAGCCCAATATTGGTTGTCCATCTAGCTCCTGCTGGACCAGCCTGTCCAACTCAGTCACCCATTGCTCCTGGGGTCGCTCTCCCAGGAATGGCGTCCGTAACTGGTGTCCGATGGTCCCTGGCCCGTTCCCCTGGGGTTGGATAGCACTTGCCCTTGCACATACCAGCAACCTGGAGGGCTCCACTCCAAAGTACCTCCCGAATCTGCTGCCTGAGCTCCAGGAACTCATCCGTAGACACAGTCCTGGGGTATGTTGCAAGAACGATCCGCAGCAGCCCCGGGAACTCTGATGCCAGGTCCATATCTCCACTGGGGTGACCGTCATCTACTTTCCTGATCTTGAATCCCGGTGGTGGTTTGGACGTGTTCACAGCTTGGAAGCACAATCCCACCGCTTGCCACCAATGTAACGGAACTGACCCCGACTGCACTTGGGTATTTCCGTTAGACTCCCGCTTCCCTGTCCGAACACTGCCCACAGACACCACTGCTGACCATACGAGACTAGACAACACCAGACTTGAAGGAAACCAGGAAATAGACTGCTTTATTTTTAAAACAGATACAAGATATATACACTCGGGACAATACCCCCCCTCCCTGCATAATGACACAGGGCGGGGCAAACCACATCTATCAACAAGAGACACATCAGCAGACACCCCCCCCACCAAGCCAATACACATACATCCCATAATAGTTTGCTCCCAAGACACAAAATAAAACAATGGGATGCAACCACACAACACCAAACAATCCACAATCCCCCACCCCAATATTAGGACAGATCACCCTGTACCCCTAACAGGCATAGGGTGACTTACACATAAGAGGGATATGGGGAGCTGAGACAGGGGTCTCCCCACCTCTCCAAAGTGAGCTGTGTTCCATGGGCCCCCCACCCAAAGTCACTCCCGTCACACTCTGCAATATTTAAGGGTTGCCTTGGTCACTACGCCCAGACTACTGCCAGGGGATTGGCCAAGGTCCCTCAAGTATGTAGATCTGAGCTTCCTCCTCCAGAAAGCCCTTAGGTTTCTTGAGAGGTGGGAGGGCTCCAGAAGCTCTGATCTTCAGAACCTCCCTAGCTGTCCTGAGGTGACCTCACTCCCAGGGGTTGGCCTGCAGAGTCTCTCAGCCCTGACCACAATTTGACCCCTCTGGCTATTACACCCGAGCTGCTAACTGGCTCCTGACTAACCATTAGGATCTAGCTACACTAGGAGGGTGCTACATTTGGTATGCTGCACTTCCATGATCATTTTGTCACTTTACGTTGTTCTGGTTTATTGGTGTTGGTATTGTAAGAGTGATATTCATGTTAATAAAGTTTATTTCATCTTAGTCGGCCTGCTTCCTGGTTTCCTGAGGTACAGCCCACTGATGGGGCCACCTTTGCTGGATTCCTGTGGTATCCCTGACATGACACTGCAGCCATTCATGATCAGATGGTCTACACCTGGGAATTTGGTCTCAGCACTTGTTGGTTGCTGCAAGATTCACCCGGAGGAGGCTTTGTACCATGTGTGTACTGATCTTCTCCGACTGCCTCATTCAACCAAGTGGGGCCCTCGTCCTTTTATCCAAGCCACCCCGCATCAGTCTTGCCTTCTGCCTCTTCATATCTGGGATTCTCAGCAACCAGGCCTCACGCTATGGTAATTCCATCTGCTCAAGCCTGTCTTAGGAGTACCATCCATCATTTGGATGGACTGCCTCATTCGACCAAGTGGGGCACGTCCTTTTTTCTAAGCCACCCCACATCCAGCCTGTGTTCCAGCGACCCAACCTCAACTATAGGTCACCTGCTATCCAGCCTACTGGTTCTCTGTCCACTGTCCAGTTTGGCTCCATAGACTGTTTGATGGGTAATCAACCTGTCCTCACTCATCTCCTGACCATTGCCATCAAGATGGCATGCTGCCTACTAATGGGATCCAGTCCCCCTCTATACTACCTGCTGATGGGGTTCAACTTGCCTCTATGCTTGCCGACAGGATTCGGTCTGCGGTCTGCTGCTGGTGCCTTGCTCTCTGCTTCCAAATCTGCCTCCTCTGCCAAACTTGCCTCTCATGCTCCTTTGCCTGTTTCCCAGCTTGGTGGTCCTGTGTCTGCTGTTCAGCCAGAAGATTCTGTTACTGATTTTCCAGCGTGAGGGTCC